ATTTATTTATTTATTTATTTATTTATTTTTTTATTTATTTAACATATTGAAAAATCCGGAAGAAACGTCTGTGTCTTGAAATGTGCCGACATACTACCTTATATCCTAACTCTGCAGAGTGCCGATATCAGATTTATCATCCCTCAGCGGGGATTAATTTAACTGACAGAATTAACTACATCACAGCCATATTAATTAACAATATCACTGCTATGTAAATTAATTGTATCACTGCTATGTAAATATATGATATCACCACCATGTTAAGTTTAGGAAGACTCAAAAAGCCATCATCATTTACGTAATTATGAATAGTACGTAAAGCAACATAAAGGTATAAGAATATTAGGCTTAAAAAACATGTTTGTTTTTCAGTTCCTACTTTGACATTTAAATACAACCGTGACACACGTCTGAAGGTCTTAGAACCGAAAGGGTTAATGGACGTGGTGGAATCTTACTTCAGACGTAACTTCCAGAACTTTTCACTTCTTAAATTTATCTCACGCGAACAATTTGTCATCAGGATTATTATTTTACACAAACATCCTTCAATATTCCCTGACATAATGAATTTCATGGCTCACCACAGTGTCGCTTACGACCCTCGGAAATAAGCAATTATTGGATTACTCGATTACCTCCCTTGCGCTCGAGTGCGCGTGCCAGGCCGCCTCTGTCACCAAAAAATGAAAACTGCTCAATAAAATTCCTCATGCAATAAAATAATCAACATGAAAGATGTGGTAATACTCCGTGGTCGGGCGTGATAAGGCCAACCATTACGGGAAATGTTCTGAGGCGAAAATCTCTCCTAAAAGACATGTTATCCTCCAGAACAGGAGGGCTTGGGGCCATCCCAAACCAATAAACAGTATTCGATCAATCCGTCATTTACAAGCACGTTGATTCACCTTTAACGCTAACTATCGATTCTGACACTCCGCGTGATTTGACGGCATGGACTGTGTCGGCTCGGCTACAACCTGTACGGGTGCTGTAGGTAGGGGGCGGGTGGCATCCAATCCCCACCCGACTCTACGCCCTAAACCCCCGACTACAAAAGGGAGAGAAGAAAACTAACACTCACGAAAACTAAATATACTATACAGACACATATAGAGGTATTTTACATATTTCTGTATCATTTTGCAATATAACATGAGGATTTACTGGTATGGTACCAACATGGTCGTTTCCATGATTATTATTACTACATGCAGTTTAAAAACATAGTCATACATATTTCTGAACAATATTTTCCATTGTTTACCTCAAATGTTAACCGTTCTAAAACCCTTCGGGGGACAAACCAGGACAATAATGTCTAATCTGCATAAGATTTCCGCAAAAAGTGCATCAGATATCCAAATATTTTACTGTCATTATTTATTGTGCAAAAAGACAACCTATGACAAAAATCAAGAATTTGTTAATATTGTAAAAATTCGAAAAATTCAGCTAACTTTAAGGATATTAAAAAAGGAATATGTGTGTGTTACACATGATATATACATGTCATATGATGTTAAAAGTGTTCCTTATTGGATCAAAATGTTGAAATAATTCCGATTTTGAATAAAGTCTTACAAGCTGCACATATATGAATGAAATGAAATGAATTAGTGTCATGAAATGTAATGGTATTCTGGTACATATAGGAGACCACTTCTTCCACTGTTGGCAACAGAGGCGTCAAGATACTTCAGGGCCTTTTTCTGCAAGCGAGGATATTCCGACTAAGTATGATGTGAAGATGCACCACACATCTCAATGGGAATCCCAGGCCTGTAAGTGCTTCCTCTGAATCCCAGGATACATTCCTGGTAAATGCTCTTCGAATATGAAGTATCATTTCTTCGTTGAACGTTGTGCGGTGCAGAGGATGTGTACACAACATACAACATATATGTGTGAATATACAGATCAGTTTGTTAAGTCAGCTGACGAATAATACCCTTATAACATGCAGTGATAACATCACAGAGAATTAACAGTGCATTTTATTCTAATGTAATAATAATTCAAGCTTTGAAAACACTCATTTGAATATTTCAAATTTTTATGTTGTTTTTCATTTTCTGTACTTTGATAAGAATATTATGTTTTAAGAATATTTAAACTCATAGCAAATGTCATTAGCAGTGTTATAAGGACATTATATAGTAAACATTACGTTGATGTTGATAAAATATCTGAAAGAAATATTAAACTCAATTTGTAATCATTAACCCGTAAGCTCCCGACTGAAATAAGTCGGTTCAGAAATCAATGACTTTTGTTTATGAAAATAAATATCTTTATAATCAAACAATTACTTGTTATAAACAGATGAGGGGTGAAAATAATGTTACAGTCAACAACAAAATCTCTCAGTCGAAATATATCTACCAACCAAAGTTTCTGGAGATGAAAAATCAAAGCTTTTTATCTCCCTTGTCAGTATCAATAATACGTTCCTAGTGAAGCATAAATTACCGTCTTCTACCAGCTTATATGTACCCAAAGTAAATCAGAACAGGAACTGATTAAGTGGTTGTTATATTGACAGATTCACGTCTAAACATACACCTGGGGTTTATTGAAAGGTATCGGGAATCACGATAACAGTGAAGTCCTTATAAAGTATACTGTCAATATTATTAACATAAGGAGAAGATACCATCAAATATTAGCCGAGCTTTTTGTTGTTGCATGAATTGTCCTATTCATGATGTCAGCCAGTGTATATACAGGCGCTTGAATAGGAAATTAGGTGAAATCATATATCAGCAAAATTTCCATATGCTGCTATATATGCTCAAACCATCACCATTGTGTTTACAACAGTTGAAAGCTGCGGTGTGGGGCTCTCTTGTTTAAAAAATAATATCCGCCCTAATTATTCCCTGATTTCATCTTCATTAAACAATATATCATTGATAATTCAAATAGACTTAAGTGTAAAATGCCGTCCATGAAAGAGGGTATCAAGCACAAAATAACTTGTGGTGACACATGGTCAGTTTCCGTCCATTGATGAAAACTTTCACTATGGCTGATCATGAAAAGGCAGAGCGTTATCTTGGGTAATGAATGTTCTATGTCTCATATCATTTTTAACATAATTTCTTTTCTTGTTCAGCGGTCATTCAAATCGTTAATTTACATTTCAATTGAGAAGTAATAACGTGTTTTTGTTCCCATTGTTTAAATGGGCCATGCATCAGTGAACACGGTTAATATGTTTACAATCATACGTCAGAGCTGCCTCCGTGTAGAGAGAGTGAAAGAGACGGGCTATTGAGAAGTAACTCTTCAACCACACTCAAATACACTGTAATGCCGTACGTCTGTGTTCACCATGGTATACAGATAGACATATAATTGTTTCTGTTTATTAGAAAATATCATTGCATTAAGCATGTACGGTGATAATCTACAGTATCAACCCAACCTATCATTTCTTTAAAACATAGTTACATGGCAAAATGTCAGTCAGAGTTCTACAAACATGGGCATCCTTCATTCATATGCATGGCGACTTAACTGTTAACAAAACAACAGATTTGGGCAATTTTAATTTTATGCATATAGAAAAAAGTGCATTTTTATTTCACAGAGGCCACTGAATTTAGTATATCGGTTTCGTGTATTTCATCTGTGCACTCTGTACATAATGTTCAGTATTATCCTGGATAAAACCATCCATTGTTAACTGATGACCTGGGAAGGTATTTGCATGAGCAGGTTTTGCTTGTTCGTCAGTCCAAATTTCTTCAGAAATCGACATATGTTTAAACTATTAATCTTTTTAGCATGATGTTTGTGGCACCCATGTGTTTCTGTTATCTGCCCAGTCTGTTGATAAACTTAAGGTCTTCAATACCTTCATGATGGTTTAATATTAAGCACTTTCCTGGTGGTATTTCTATTTTCAAAACCTGAACTGAAAAATCAGTAGTCATTGCTGATGAAGTGGACTTCTATTATTTTCCATACACTGAATGAATAAAATAGTCTGAGAATAAAACTTTCCATTCCCCTCCGAAACATATTCGAATGAGTGTTAATAGGTAAAATAGTGATAATGACACCAGGTGTTCGCTCCAATGGTAAGCATATTCTGCTGAACCGGTATCACTCTTCACTTACCAATTTGCATAGAAAAGAGGAACCAAATTCTAGAACTACCATCCATGGATGTAATGATAAAAGGAGAGAGGGCGACGCTATGACATTTTGGATAATCTCCTGATTGGTTTGCAATAAAATAAACAATACTACTTGAGAAAGGCTAAATAAACTACGTGTATTTTGTGTGCTTTTATATCGTTTTGTGTGACAATTTGTTTGATAACTTCGAATATGAATATTTATTCTGATTAAACTACCACCTATAACAAAAAGCAAAACACTGAGAACGAGAGAGAGAGAGAGAGAGAGAGAGAGAGAGAGAGAGAGAGAGAGAGAGAGTACTAGAGTGTTGGCCGTGTATGTACACATGCGGCATGTCTCTTTGTTTCCAGGCATTTAAAATGCCCCCAGTCTATAGTTCCCTCCCCATCCGGCGCTCTTTGGGTCGATTTGCTTATGTTTTTATTCTGGCGCCAGCTCACTCAAACGGGTGTCATTCTCTAAACCCAGCTATTCATATAAATTCACGACTGAATTTTCACGAATATCGCTCATCATCCGACCAACTGCATACTCATTGATACATGTATCAGTCGCGCTCCGATTCTCAGAGTAAACTACTTCTGTTGAATGTCATTAAACCCAAGTTTTAAGGAGATTTCAAGCGCGTGAAATCTGTCTGTGGACAAGACCACTGGGTTAATTATTAAACGAGACATTTCGCAGAACACTCGATTTGTTTTCAATTATCGCACTCACTATGCCCATTGCATGATCACACCAGCTCGAGCGCACATTGGTCGAGTCGATACGCCACTCAAACAAAAGCCACGCCCCCAGATAGCGATTTACGACAAGTGTGTTTTGAGTGTAGATGTCCGGGGTATGATGTTAGCAGGGTTTGAATGGATGTGTGACAGAGCACGGTGGGTTATCATCGCCTGTTGAGAGAGATTCAGAGACAGACATGGGGGATACACATCCACACTGCCTCGACAGGGACAATGATTCCGATAGCCAAGGACATGAGATTGCAGTTCAAAATTTAACGAACTTTTCCATTGATGAAATTCTCAAACCAGACTTTGGTGTGAAAAAGTTTACAGTAAGAATTGGTTCGGCGTTTACGCCTGTGGACTTGAAAAGACGATCCACCTCCCCATCCGATTCCCCTGCCTCCCGGGAATCAGCACAACCATCCCCAGGAAAGACGGACGAGAAGCCAGCCCAAATGTGGCCTGCTTGGGTGTACTGCACAAGATATTCAGATCGACCCTCGTCAGGTAGGCCAGGAACACCGTATTCAGCCAAGCAGTAAACTATTGAAGTATAACATTAAATCACATTACCTCCATTAAATAATCAAAGTCTGTGTTGTGTTTACACCTTAATATTACTCCTGTGTTATTTAAGACCGTAACTGCCTGTTAGATAGATAATTAAAACCGATATTCATAATGTAAGGCTATGAAATCCTATGGTTCGTATACGTACGTGCGAGTCTATGTATATGCAGTAACCACTATTTGTTAACGATCAGTGATAAGGGACAGGTCCATATCTGTATCTTAGATATTCAATGATCTCCTATATGAATCTTATAGATATGGAATAAATTATAAATCGTTTAAAATATATGCTTTTTATGTATATTAATTTTTATGAATCATAGGTTTTCGTACAGTAAATATGTAAGATAACCATTTAGAAATGTAATCATGTTTTCTTGTGTTTTACAGATTATATTGTTCTGATACTCAGCGTCTCTAAATCATTTCTTTATATCAGTTAATCTTTGATATCAGTTATTTGTCAGTCCACTGTACTTTAAAACGCCCTTCCAATATAAATAAATTTCAGATAAAAGCCTTTTAATATATTTGTATTTGAACTGAATTTTCCCAATGACGACTAACCTTAATGTGCTAACTGAATGCTGTGAAAAAATATATGATTCGTATATCATTGGAATTTGATACCATGTTAATTGTTGAGTTAAAATTTAAAATCTCGTAAATTCGTTCATGTGATTTGATACCTGTGACTGTTCATAGTCAGTAATTGGATTCAGTATTAGTGTCATCTGACAAATAACATACAACAAAATAATTGGCATGTAAAATTACTGTTATTGCACTCTGGTGCTAAAAGCATCCAGTAATTACTGGAACGAGAGACTGTTACCTACACTCGTGACATGAACAAGCAATCAGTATTACCTACAGGTATGACAAACGTCATTTCTCAACTCTGGCCTGCTTCCTGACGGACATGCGTGATGACATCTAACTAGTCTATCACACAAACACATAGTGACATGTGCGCGTTATGATTCCGGTGTCTGTTAAATTTCGAATGAAAATAATTAAATGTAAACTTTAAATCCTACCTTTATGTGTTTATTTCGTTAAACACTAAATCTCGCCAATTTTTACAGTTTTTTTTTACTTTTAAACACACTGCATTGTTATAAAATATATATCCCATATACATCACCAGTTAAACGTCATTTCGTGTTTTTTAACTTTTATGCAGGCTTTTTTACAGTATCAGCTTTATCGGTACCTATACTTTGATGACAATGCGTATAAACTGCATGCCAATGTATACAATATGTTTAACACCGGGGCGGTTTTTTCTGTCGTGGAGTTGTATAAGCATTATATTAACGACTGTCAACAAGCTAGAGTTTCCAGCGCATGCTGAGGCAGAAGCTCACGTTTCACATTTCTTCTCCATACTGTTCTGCCATTGCTACATTTTCCACTATTTTATGTTCGTGTGTTTGTGTTCCGCCAAAATATCCAATCTTGTTTGCTTGTGTATCTAACAGACTCACGTTGCTACACAGCTCAATTCCCCCCTTGCATGTCTGTTCAGTGCCGAGTCCCTCTTTGTCTCCCGGGGTTGAAGTCAAGAATAAATACACACAACGCAACGCACCAATTGTTAGGGATGTATAAAACAGTTTTATAGAGACAGCATGGGCCAAAATAACCCAGTGTGACTAGTTTTGAATTATTGTCATTTCATTTTAAATGCCAGAGATTGCACTATCGTGTAATTTTCAGCTTGATTCCTTTCCCAAAACAAATTGATCTGCCACGTGCGGTGTTTGAACCAATGCGGTTTGAATGAGATGCGTGCAATTATTTCGATACGCGCAGTGAACACAGTGTGGCTTTAGCGCTGGGGGAAATGTAACGTATATATAATTTGCTAATCAACGTATCATATGGGTATTTTAGGTAGAAGACAAAACATAATAAATGCTGTTATTTTAATATTTCTTTAAGTAGGCTGAGGAGTTACTTTCACTGAACCGGTGAATTGACAATTTGCACATCTCAGAGAGTACTCTCAATAAAAACATATTGGCTGACTGGCGCATACTTCTTTCAATTCACGGTTTTGCTTCTTCTTAAATGTACATCAAATAGGATTGAAGATACACCTGTACATCACTTCTAAATTTGTCAATTCTTCACGTTTGTTAGCTTAAAGAACTGACTGACTGAGTTTAGTTTTACGCCGCTTTTAGCAATATTCCAGCAATATCACGGCTGGGGACACCAGAAATGGGCTTCACACATTGTACCCATAAAGAAGCTGTGATATATATAAATATATAAATATAACAAGTGACCCATCACACATGGATTGTATGAAACTGAAAACTGATATTCTGGGGTCAACCTTAGACATGTATGATTAATTATCTCATTGAACCCTTCAACTGTTAATGATGAGATCTAGAGGTTTAAACTTTCAAGGCAATTAGCCGACGGCAGTTATTACAAAGAATATCCCAGAATGATGCTTCATTCGTTCAAAGACTTTATCATTTTATGACAAAACAATAGTCTACTCCCTTTGTGTTTTCCTAGTGACTTCAGTGAGAGGTGGAGTAGCTGTGTGTTGCTCGGTAGTGTGGTTAAGAACTGGGTAAAGTGGGGAGTAGTATGGATGGGGCGTAGGGTGGCGTGGTGAGAGTAGGGGGTACAGGGGGTGTTGCAGGTTGGGCGTAGGGTGGCACTGGGAGGATGTGCAGGGCAGTTGTTACAGCCACCAAGCATGGTGTGGAGCCAGCAGTTAGGGCTATTCCTTAATTTACATAATTCAATAAATTGTCGGAGAGATGTATAATTGGGTTAGTTTGTTGAAATGTTGTTGATAATTAGTTTTCAAAGTTGAACATTAATATTATTTGGATATTAATCATTCATTGTATGATATGATCGACATCAGAACTTTAACAACTCCGACAGGAGCAATCATTTAATCACAAACCTCCCCATAGTCTACAGTGCTGAACAAAGAAGTTAAAACAATTTAGAGATTTTCATTAACCCACTGTGACTTTTTGCTCATAAAATTACTTTGAATTGTTAATCACATGTGAAAATTGATTAATCATAGTTTCCTTGTATTTTTGACATTTCCATTGTAAACGATGCTCCTATTTAGAGCATAATTTTTAAAAGAATTTAATGATGCAACAAAGCCAGTATTGACATTTTGTGGATGAATTAGGTCCCGTTGTTTTGCAACTATAGCGTTCGTTTAGGATTACAATATGACAATGATGATACTAATTTCAAATTTGAAACCTGAATACGTATAGGGGTTTGTAATAGTTAATAGTGACATACTTTGAAAGAAGGCTTTGAACCACGCAGCGAGGAGGAGTAGCATATCGCAAATAAGAGACTCACACAAATAATAGTCGCTTGTCTGAATGTCTGAACACCTCATCGAGCATGGTATGGGGTCTAAGGCTCGAGCTGTTTTGAAAGTTCTAAGAGATTTTTTATCTATATTTAAACAACTTCATAAAAGACAAATAATCCACCTGTTGTTTGCAAAAACATATACATTTTTCACAATTGTAAATTTGCTTTGTAGATGCTTCTGACTATGTATATTGTATATGTATTATAAGAACAATTTGCTTTATTGATAGAAGTAAATTATTTATTTTCCACCCTGAAACTATTCAATGATGGAGTTTCAATTCCTGTTCCATTTTTATTTTACAACATTTTAAAGAAATAATGCATGTCTCGAAAACGTTTTTTTTTGTCGTTTTGCCAATGCTAACGCTTAAACGCAGAGTTAGGTATTAGATCTACATGTGTGGTCATAAAAATTACGAATTGTCTTCAGATAGTATGATTTGTCGTCCTAAACGTTCTATCCTCAGAAAGTGCGAAGTATCTTTGTTGCCGAGTTTGAAATAGGAAACGTCCACGCATGCGTCTCCTCCATAGTTCTGTCATATTCTGTTGCCATTACTTTGGTAAGTGTGTTTTCATCATCAGCAATGTCTGTAATAAATCTGCTATGATAACATCCAACAACATGGCCTGCTTTAGAAATGCTGCCACGAATATCGCCGTGCAAAGAATAAATGACATCCTATTCGTAAATATGACAAAAACATCTACCTTGTTACTAAATCGAGTGGAAAGCAGTTAGGCGCAATTGCATTTTACTCGTGCACAACTTCTCTGATAACTGAATTACCTGATACTCACTTTATTGCCATCAGCTCACAATAATAGAGAGAAATGCTTTCCAATACCAGTGGACGATGAACATGTAAATAACCATTTATAATGCACAGAAATGCAACTGATGATGACACTGCAGGTGAAAAAAACGTTTCCTTATTTTTAAAACGTCTCTATTGAAAGGGAAAGCCATTGTACGATTCCGAGAACATGTATATTATGAGCATTTGTTTCTGTATCACCTTCAAATGGTGAATGTTCTTTGTACTGAGAGTACCTAGGAACGACCGAGCCGTATTAAGGATGTGTATTAGAGGTGGTGCCTTATTTGAGATTTCACAATTTCTTAAAATAAAACATAGTTCTTGCACAAAATCGAATTTAGTGGTGATATTCTCAAAACGATGAACGAGCTTCGCAATATAATAAAAAATGACATCTATTTAACCAACATTCTCTGTCGTTAGAGACAGGTGAAATGAAGGGTGAAATGGCTTTTTTTCTGCATGTTTTATGTATGTGCAGTTAGGGGATTGAGGATTTAAAGATTTTACTTTTAAGTATTAGAAGTAAAAGTACCTTATTAGAGCGCACATATTTATTGTCTGTGCAACTGAAGATGCAAGATGCTTCATTTGCATCCAAGACATATGTGGCAACGCCCACAGCAGCTAAAAGACACTGCATTTATCAATGTACTGCGTTCATATACTCTTGCACTATGTACCCATTGTAGCACCTTCAGCCCACATTTCATCACCTCTTTTAAA